ATTGGGCAATCTTGGGACCTTTGTCAAATATCAGTTGGACATAAATGTGTGGATTTATTTCTGGGCCCTTTCTATTCTGTGTGTCTGTTTTTATGCCAGTACCATACTGTTTTGATCACTGTGGCTTTGTAATATATTTTGAAATCAGGCAGTGCAGTGCCTGTAGCTTTGTTCTTTGTTCTATTCAAGATTGCTTTGGCTATTTGGGTTTTTTTGTGGTTCCATTTGAATTTAGGATTCTTGGGGCAGCCTGGGTGGCCCAGCAGTTTGGCGCCACCTTCAGCCCAGGGCATAATCCTGGAGACCCAGGATCGAGTCCCACATCAGGCTCCATGCATGGGGCCTGCTTCTGTGCCTGTGTGTCTGCCTCTCTCTCTCTCTGTCTCTCAAGAATAAATAAATAAAATCTTTTTAAAAAAATGAATTTAGGATTCTTTTGCTTATTTCTGTGAAAAAGGGCCATTGGAATTTTGATAGGGATTACATTGAATATGTAAATTGCTTTGGATAGTAGGGATATTTTTACAATATTAATTCTAATCCATGAATACAGATTATCTTTCCATTTGTACTTTCAGTTTTTCTCATCATTGCTTTTGTAGTCTTCACTGTATATATCTTTCTCTTCCTTGGCTAAACTTACTCCTAAGTATTTTATTGTTTTTGATGCTATCGTAATTTTTTTTTTTATTTCTCTCTCAGATACTTAGTTGTTGGTGTCTAGAGATGCCACTGATTTTTGTATGTTGATTTTATACACTGTAGCTTTAAAGAATTTGCCAATTTATTAGTTTTAACAGTTTCTGGCAGTCGTTCTTGTTTTCTATGTAAAATACATGCCATCTGTAAATATTGACAGTTTTATTGCTTCCTTTGCAATGTGGATGTGTCTTATTTCTTTTTCTTGCCTAATTCCTCTGGATAGGACTTCTAGTACTAGATTGAAATTGGTGTGTTGAGAGTGAGAGAACTTATCTTGTTCCTCATTTTAGAGGAAAAGCTTTCAGCATTTCACCATTGAAGATGATGTTAGCTGTGTGTTTGTCCTATATGGCCTCTATTATACTGAGGTACATTCCTTCTATACCTAGTTTGTTGAGAGTCTCCATTATGAAAGGAAATTGTATTTTGTTGAATGCTTTTTCTGCATTTATTGAGATGATCATAGGATTTTTTTCCTTTCAATTTGTTAATCCTTGCATCCTAAGGGAAAATCTCATGTGATCATGGTGTATGACCCTTTCACATGCTGTTGAATTCAGTTTGGTGATATTTTGTTGAGGGGTGTTTCATCTGTACTTATCAGGGATACTGGCCTGTAATGTTCTTTTTTTGTAGTGTCCTTATATGGCTTTGGTATCAGGATAATGCTGGCCTTGTGAAATGGGCTTGGACATGTTACCTTCTCTTCAGTATTTTGGAAGAGTTTGAGAGGGGTTCTTAATTTTGCCTTAGCTGTCTTTCCTCTTTGATTACCAATTCAGTCTCTTATTCACTATTAGTTCACATTTTCTCTTTCTTCATGAGTTAGTCTTGGGAGGTTGTATGTTTTTAGAAATTTGTGCATTTCTTCCAGGTTGTCCAACTTGAATTTAATATTCTATCATTATTACTTTCATATGTTGGGAGAAGGTAGTGTGAAAGTGGCTTTTACATCAGATCAGTGTTGAAATTCCAGCTTCACCACTTATGGTCTACATTGTTTTGGGTAGTCATTTCACCCCTGAACTTGTGTCTGCATTCCTATCGTGGAGCTACTCTGAATTAACCCTGGGCTGGATAAGGATGAGCTATCACAAGAAAGCCTGTTTCTCATTAGCTGTGGAAAATGTGCAGTTGTGCTGCAGTTATCAGTGTTCAAAATATTCTTCAAAAATGTGTTTTGAGTGGCATTATTTCATTAAGTGAAATGATAATATAGAAGTAAGAACAAACAATAAAGGAATGTAATGATTATATGGGAAGATCAACTGTTATAAGCTTGTAATTGAAACATTTCCCCCCAAAATGCCTGGAGAACACATTTTGCGGTAGACTAAATGAGTTAAGCAGTTTTTAACAGGCTTCCATTTTGCTGCCCAGCTTCTAAATGCTGGTTAAATTAAAACAAGCATACTTGCAAAATTTGAACCTTTTTGTATAATGTACGGCTAAAAAAAATACTATTAGCTTATAACTCAGTGAATTTCTGCAGTATAAACACACTTATGCAACCAGCAACAAACAATTTTACCAAGCACTTCCAGAAGCTCGTTAAGCCACCCCCAACCCCCAACCCCGCAAGTGACTGCAAGTCTCTTCCTCCCAAGAAGCATCCTCATCCTAACTTCTGTCACCATAGATTATTTCCCCCTGCATTCGATTTGGTTATACCCATGGTGATACGACTCGTTTTGCTTAGTATCATGTTGTGAAGTTCATCCATGTTGTTGCATGTGGCAAGAATTTGTTCATTCTGTCTCTCCTGCTCTTCACATCTGGAAATTCTGTCAATGAAGCCAAAGTGTCCTAAGGCATTCATCATACGTAGTTGAATTGATTTCTCTCCTGTGCATCTAGGATGGTACTAGCCTTGTGGCATCTTTGGGAGAGTTTTGAACATAGTCAAATCATTTCTCTTAGAATCCGTAGAAAGCTACATGAGCTGTAGCTTTTCTGGGTTTTGTGGTCTAGCAGCCCTCTTCTGCCTTTCAGCGGATAACTTCTATTATCTGCTTTTTTTTTTTTGTTCTCCCTGGGGGTTCTGGTGTACTGCACACCACTCCATCCTACCAGGAAGCGGAAGTCCAGAAACATGCTTTAAATGCATAGCTGGGGATCCCTGGGTGGCGCAGCGGTTTGGCGCCTGCCTTTGGCCCAGGGCACGATCCTGGAGACCCAGGATCGAATCCCACATCGGGCTCCCGGTGCATGGAGCCTGCTTTTCCCTCTACCTATGTCTCTGCCTCTCTCTCTGTGTGTGTGTGTGACTATCATAAATAAATAAAAATTAAAAAAAAATAAATGCATAGCTGGATCCTGGGAAAATACAGGAAATTCCCAGGGGCCAAAAACCAAAGATGGCCAGGGTGCTGCAATCTCGGAGGATAAAAGAATACAAGCCAGGGCTGCCCTGAGGCACTGCGGAAACTTGGCCTCTAGAGCCTCAAAGTATGAGTGGGTGGCTAGGAGCAGGCGCCAAACAAAGCCTTGGATGGGGTGGGGGGATGATGGAGCTGTGTCTGTCTCCATAGCCCCTAATCTTATAGGACTCTCAGAGCTATATTCCTTGAATAGAAGAGTGGGCTAGAAAACATAACCCTCCTAATGGCTAAAAAATGTGTTTTAGCTCTGTAGAGGGATAGAGTTTATGATTTTTCTGCCAAAGATCTGATCCACAGCCTCTCTTTGGAGGTCTTTGGGATTTGCAATTAGACTCCCTCAGATGTCCAGGAGATCCAAGTCTAGAAGGAGAAAATTACCACTGAACCAAAGATACAACCTGCTGGCAAAGCCAGCAGAGACAACTGAAAAGCAGAACTAGAGCCTCCAGAGCATCTCGACATATTGTCAAATAACTATATTTAAAATCAAAAGAAACAAAAGGTAGAATTTAAAAATATGAGCAAGATACAAACGGTAGCAAAAATGACTATGCAGATTTGAGAAAGAACCAAATATAGGTTTTGGAAAAGGGCTTAGCTTGGGGCCTGGCATTTAGGAGCTACTTAATAACTGTTAGCTTATTGTGGCCTTACTGAAGTGCTCTCATTTAGGCAAATGATTCTCTATATAAAACTCATGACTTGGGGTGCTGGGGTGGCTTAGTCGGTTAAGCATCTGCCTTCAGCTCAGGTCAAGATCCCAGGGTTCTGGGATTGAGCCCCACTTTGGACTCCCTGCTCAGCGGGGAGTCTGCTTCTCCCTCTCCCTCCCTACTACCCTCATCCTGTTCATTTTCTTTCTCTCTCAAATGAATAAATAAAATCTTAAAAATAAAAATAAAACTCGTGACTTTACACAGTAGGAAGTGTCTTGGTGGAGCTTCTACTTGAGAAGTATTCACTAATACTATTGTTCTGTTGGCCTTAAAATTTATTGACTTAGTTGATATTGGACTCACAGCTTTGAGGCAGTTTCAAAAGCAAATGTGGTAGGCATTTCCCCACATGGTCAGTTTCAGCAAATCTCAGGGTTATCCTATGTCCGAGAGATCTGTCTCCACCTGGCTAATTCCTGGATTCCTTTTGTATAAGGCTTTGTTTCCTTCAAACCCATCATATGTGATGTCATTTTTAGATGCAAATGTAGAAAAAATTATAGGTTAGAAAAGTAACATCAGGTATCCCTCATCATCCTGCAATGGAGGAGCCAGGTACATAAAACTCATAAAATGTTTATGAAAACGAGTAGTCTTGGGGCATCTTTGTCCTCTTCTCCCCTCACCCCCCAACATGTTTTGAGTGCCTCCTGGATGCTAGGCCTGTGCCAACAGGAAGCTTGTGAGGATGATGAAAACATTGTTCCTCCTTCCCTGAAATTCACACCTTGACCACCAAGTCTGCCCCTGGGATCCTTACACATGCATATGAATGAATTGAATCTATTATGTGCTTCTTTTTTTTTTAATTTTTTTTTTATTTATTTATTATAGTCACAGAGAGAGAAAGAGGCAGAGACATAGGCAGAGGGAGAAGCAGGCTCCATGCACCGGAGCCCGACGTGGGATTCGATCCCGGGTCTCCAGGATCGCGCCCTGGGCCAAAGGCAGGCGCCAAACTGCTGCGCCACCCAGGGATCCCTATTATGTGCTTCTTTCTGCAAAACTCTTGATATCTTACGAATTTATAATGAGTCTTCAGCTTTTGGAGCAAGATAAAGTGTATATATATTGTATATATTGCCAAGCATATGACAACAGTAACTAGCTAGCTAGATACTGTGGTTTTTCAAGCAAATAAATAGGTTCAATAATCAAGTTAACTTCTCCATTACTAATTCCACCACTTCAAATCTTTTAGGATGATGTGAGGCATAAAGTTCATCTGAACACCTTTGGATTCTTCAAGGATGGCTACATGGTGGTTAACGTCAGTAGCCTTTCAGTCAATGAACCTGTAGGAGCCACAGACAAGGACAAAACTGTAAGTGCCTTCCCAGGAGGTCAAGGGCTTTATCCTTTTCTGTTGATTAGATGAGAGCTTCACCCCACACTTAAATATGAAGTCTCAGAATATGGAGGAAATTAAACTTGTGAATAGGCATCAGATAGTTTTACTTTAAACACAGAAGTTGTCATTCTTGAATAATTTTAGTAATTAGTGATCCCTTTTCAAAATGAATGCTAAGAAAACCAAGAGAAGGCTAGGCCAAAGAATCACCTTTTCTGCTCTTGGAGTAAGAAAGAATGGATGCCAGAGCCTCATTTGGATATTTACCTCTACTCTTTTTACCCCTCTTAGATTGGATTCAGCTTAGATCGCACAAAGAATGATGGATTTTCTTCTTACCTGGTGAGCATTCCATTCATGATCTGATCACTCCTTTCACATGTGTCCAAGACGCCGGGTGGGAACACCTGGCTTCTGTCAGTGTTCTTTTCTTACTGTGGTGGCTGCTTTGACTCTGTAGCATCTCTGAGCACCCACAATTGTATTGTTTGGGATAGAGATTGGAGCATTCATTTGCCTGTGTCTAAAAACTTTTTGTTCTTATTCTAGTGTGAATGAATAAGATGATATACAATTGGGTCTTCCTTTCTCAGGATGAAGATGTAAATTACTGTATTTTAAATAAGCAGTCAGTCTCTGTCACCCTTCTAATCCTAGACATCTCCAGAAGTGAGTAAGTAATTCTAATGTTCCTTCAGTTCTGTCCTTGAGTAAAAGTTTGGGAGAATTTGTTTGTTCAGCTACCATTTACTGAGTGTCTGCCACGTGTCAAGTACTGTGCTGAGTGCTGGCGGTTAGGAACACGATGAGGGAGATGGAGGTGCCACACCCAAGGAGCTTGTAGGTTAACGAGGGAGGCCAAACAGCAATACAGATGATCATGGCAATATAGAGAGGTAGTGGGGCAGAGAAACTGTGAGCCATAAAAGAGAAGGGAAGGCTTCAGGCAACTCTTGGCCCAACCAACCTTTTAGTGAGTGGACTTCACTAGATAAATAAGGGAAGAGCATTGGAGGCAAAGGCGGAGCAGTGTGAAGTAGCATGGTGTATTCAATAGAGTGAGTTCATTATTCACATCCAGCTGACATCCAGGGAGACAGGGAGGCCTCTCTCCTGTGAAAAGTGCTTCCCTCCAGCTCAACTGTGCTAAATTAGCTCGTGTGTCCACTCCTTGGCAGGATGATGTCTGCTCAGAAGGGAGAAGAGAGGAAATGCATATTAGGCCCCTGTTAATGCCTCCTGCCCCTCACTTGCCCCCTAGAGTTCACTTGAACACCTTACTGGTTTTTATCCCTTGTTCCATTCCCCTTGTGGAACACATTATAGACACTTAGGGGGAAAATATGTCCATCTGTGTGGGTGCTAGGAAGGTAAGTTTCTGTGTGAGAGTGCTGGATCCTCGTCCAGCTGCTTCTGGCCTCAACACTCTGGGGCAAGTCATTAAGATTCCTGAGTCCCCATTTCAGCAGACACACAACACGGCCAGTACAGTACAGTCTACACTAGGGATGTCGCAAGGACTGTCTGAGATGATGGATTTAGACCCCGAGACGGTGTCCAACACATGGTACTTAGATGGCCATTGCATTACTTTGAACTTCCTTTCTTTCTTCTTATTTTGAATGTAGGGTGAGAGTAAGATCCCCACCAGAAGCTGGTACCCAGTTGCCAAAGATCGTCTTCAGCAAGGATGAGAAGGTCCTAGGCCAGAGCCAGGAGCCTGGGGCTAACCCCGTTTCAGCAGGCAACCAGACGCAGCTAAAACCAGGTCAGCTGTCAGGCCCAGAACAGCATCTTCTTCACTGACCTGTTCTTTAGACTCTTTTTTTGTCCCTAAGTAAAAACACACACACAGTCACAGCATTATTTTATTTCAGAGGTTATACAAAAATACTTAACCATTAAAAAGGTATAAACTGTGGGGAAGGTGAAGGAAAGAACAGTTGTTCCTCCGTCCTCATAGCACCAGAACTTTAGTAATCTGGGCTCCTTCTGAGCTGGGTCTGGAACATTTGATTTTTAAAAGTCATAATTTCCTAAACATCCCTGTTCACTCAACGTGCAGACACTTCATTCTTACCAGAACTCCTATTATGTGGATACTGTAACTTGCTCAAGCTTTCCCCTTGAGAGGTATTTACACTGTTGTGCTGTTATATATATTGCTGCATGGGGAGTTCTTTATTTGTAGAACTTTGGTCATATCTAGAACTTTATTTAGGATGGATTCCCAGAATTGGAATATTTGGTTCAAAGGGTATGAATATTCTGGAGAATATCGATGCATATGTTCCATTCCTTTCCAAATGCATAGTAAGAATTGATGCTCTTTTTCAGAAATATGTAGGAACTTCCCACATCATCATGTCCTAGCCAGCATTGGGTTTTTGGTGTCTGTTTGTTAGTTTGTGTTAATCCCAAAGCAAAAAGTAAAAAAGATATTCTTGGTTTTGTATTCACACTCACTAGTGAGGCTGTACTTTTTCTCCAGACATTGATTAACCAGTTTATATTTATTGCCTCTTTTGTTAACTGTCAGCTTTGTCTGATAGTTTAGTTTTTTAAAGAGAATTTACTATTTATTGTATTATTTACACATTTTTTTTCTCAGCTCATCAAAACTAACCCAAATTAAAAGACATACAGAAATGTTACATTTGTGTGATGGTGTAGCTTAGTGTCTGCACACCATTCCTTTCTTGTCCATGTTCCTCTTGCTTACATAAGCATGCCTGCACAGAAGATATTCTTTTCCTTCCTTTATTCTGAAACCCTCTCCCTGCAGGGAGCTTGAAATCCTGTCTTCCCCATGGAGGGTATCTTAAGTGAAAATAAGGCACAGATGCCCGCTCTGATCCATGAAAGAAGCCATTAGCAGCATACTTCCCCCCCCCCCCTTGTTGTGGGGGGGAAAAAGTATGAATTGTGCTCATATTATTTGCTATTAATTTTTCCATGTGTATAAATAAACATATATGTATTTTAAAACAATAAACTCTTCAAACGTGTTAACTTAGAAAATGGGGGAGGTCATCACTTCATATGGCATCTCTGACAATAACATACACTAGATTATTTAGAGATGATTTCCCTGTTGGTACTAAATATTGTTTTTTATTAGAGAACATTTATAATGTAACAAGCTCTAGTTTGCTGCTCCTGCGGCTTAAGAGTTGTTTTGGAATCTGAGGAGTTGTCAGTCTACAAGATCACAAACAGCCTCCCCTTTTGTTTGAATTATTTAATATTAGGCAAGCTAGAGCCTCATAAAATGATATTGTAATACATGTACAAGCTGAATCATGCAATAATATCTTTTAAATGTTTCTGCTTCTAGACAGTGGAAAATCTAAAAGAAGTACAGTAGATTCAAAGGTAAGAATTGATCACCCACTGTGCTCAGCTTTCCTGGCTGTATATGTACATATGTGTATATGTGTGTGGATATATATGTGGGGATATGCGTGTGAGTGTAGATGTATTTATTTACATACATACATACAGGTACACACCTAAACACATATGCACACGTAATCCACAGGGAATTGCTGTCTGTTTGGAGAGATAATGTTACTACATTTGAAGAGTTTCAAAGTAAAACTGAGTTCTGAGTTGTACAGCACTTACATAGTAGAGGGTCAGATAGTGAGGGGAGACCCCTTGGGGAGGAGTTGTCATCAGGGCTTGGACTTTGGTGGAGTTGTTTGGGGAGGAGGAAGGAATGTCATAAGCAAAGACTGGAAATGGGAACAAGCATGACAAATGCTGGGTGCCAGCCTATGGGAAGTAAAAGGTATGTCTTGGGAGCAGAGAGAGACATCTTAGATAATATCAGGCCAGACAGTAGAGGGTATTTATTTATGTGCAGAAAATAGGAAGCCGTCAGGAGTTCTTGATCAGGAAGGACTATGATACAGATGGTGTTTGGGGCAGATGTTGTTATGAAAGTAATGTACAGAGCAGCCTTGGAGAGGGAGACACTGAAATTAGGAGGACCAGGCAGAAAGCGGTTGTGACAATACAGGTTTAGTGTCCTGAAGATCTGTGCTAGAGCAGAGCCGTGGAATGTGGGGTAAGGGATGAAGATGGTGTTGGGGGGAGGAGGTAGAATTTTTACTTATTTATTTATTTATTTATTTATTTTGGTAGAAAAATTAGATGGTAGAGATAGCAGAAGGAAAAATTGGGAACATTTTGGTTTGGGATATCTTGATTTTTTCAGTGAGGGGGCATCCAGATGGTTTTAATAGCTGTGTTGAAGTACAATTGACATGCAATTAACTGCATATATTTGAAGTGACAATTTGATAAGTTTTGACTTCAGTGTACACCTGTGAAGCCACCACCACAATCAAAACAGTGAACATAATCATCACCTGCACTTTCATCTTCCCATCCTCAAGCAGCCCCTGATCTGCCTCTGTAGACGAGTAACATAGAACTTTATACATATGCATAATGCAGTACGTGCTTTTTGTCATCTTTGACTCAGCATAATTGCGTTTGAGTTCATGTATGTTGTTGGGTGTATCAGTAGTTCATTCATTCTCATGGCTGAGAGTTAGTCCATTGCATCAATGGCAATAATATGTTGATCAAATTGTGAATACCGTCCAGGTGACGTGGTAGGATATAACCGGGGTAGGCATCAGTAGTCCTGCTGAAGCTGTAAGAATGGTGATGTGCTCCAAGCAGAAGATCAGGGGGCAGGGACAGGGAATAGAAGGTTAGTGGGCTACAGAAGAGACTGTTGAGAAAGGAAGTGGGTGAAGAAGAGTTACCATTCCTTGTGAAAGGGGATCACACACATCTTAAAAGGATGGTGAATTTTATTTTCAGAGAGTTTTTGAAAGGTCAACAAATTTAGGATTTAAAAAGGATTTAAATTTAGGATTTTTTGTTTGTTTTTGTTTTTTAATTAGTATACATTTTTTGCCAGTATCGTCCTAAAACAGGTTGTGTTTTTTTTTTTTTTTTTTCAGGCAACGGGAGAAAAATCCTTTTCTGTTCACAATAGTGATGGGGCAGTTTCTTTTCAGGTATGTATTCTCTTTGAGTAATCTTCATAGGATTTATCTTTACCATGTAAAAGGATGAATTTGCAAAGGAATTTTGAATGCCTAATAATGATTTAGGCATACTACCTATCAAGTGATACTGCTGTCACTTGAATGCAGTAGTTTTCTTTGCATAGCAAACCTTCAAGGTGGCTGTTGTTACCCACCACTTAGTAGATCATGTATCTAAGAATGAGTGACTTTGTGAATGTCCAATGTGAGTGACAGGGCCCAGATTCCAATGCACATCTGCCTGACTGTTGCCACGTCTCTGCCTCCCATTCAGAGTGTGCCAGAAGCACCGAATTCTGTACCTAGAAGGACCATTGGTGATCATTTAGGAGGTTGGTAGGATTTTAGAGAGGAGTTCACCGAGGGTCAGTAGCCTTGAGTGAGCTGCGCAGCTGGCCCCGTTGTTCACTGTTCATGAGTGTTTATGGCAGCATCACAGCCGTGGATAGGGTAGGGCGTTAGATGGGGTCTCAGCAACCACTTACTGGCTGACTTCAGACAACTCACTGAACTCCTAGATCATGCTCTTAATCATCTAAGAGTGAACAGTGATGACATTTATCTCATAGAGTTGTTATAAGTATCATTTTTCTTTTTTTTTTATTTATTATTTTTTATTTATTTATGATAGTCACAGAGAGAGAGAGAGAGAGAGAGAGAGAGGCAGAGACACAGGCAGAGGGAGAAGCAGGCTCCATGCACCGGGAGCCCGACGTGGGATTCGATCCCGAGTCTCCAGGATCGCGCCCTGGGCCAAAGGCAGGCGCCAAACCGCTGCGCCACCCAGGGATCCCCTATAAGTATCATTTTTCAAATATGAAAGTGCTTTGGAAGTACTATACAAATAATCTTTTATCATGAATTTGTAAGAATCACTGCCCCTTTTCTAATCAGTTTATGGTAGTTGAGGTATAATTTGGGTCAAGTGCACAGGTCTTTTATTTATTTAATTTTAAGATTTTGTTTATCTATTCATGAGAGAGACAAAGAGGGAGGCAGAGGGACAAGCAGTCTCCATGTAGGGAGCCCGATGTGGGACTCAATCCCGGTACTCCAGGATCATGCCCTGAGCTGAAGGCAGATGCGCCCAACTGCTGAGCCACCCAGGCATCCCAAGTGCACAGGTCTTATTTTTTTTTTAATTTTGTTTATTTATTAATGAGAGAGAGAGAGAGAGAGAGAGCGCGGCAGAGACACAGGCAGAGGGAGAAGCAGGCTCCATGCAGGGAACCTGATGTGGGACTCGATCCCGGGACTCCAGGATCACACCCCGGGCTAGAGGCGGCGCTAAACCGCTGAGCCACCCAGGGCTGCCCTGCACAGGTCTTAAATGTGTAGTTCAGTCAGTTCTGACAAATGCATGCACTATGGAACCCAGTCTGTCAAGATTCTCTATATTTTTACCACCTCAGCGTCCCCTGTCCCTGCATCCCCTGTTCTGATTTCTTTCAGCATAAGTTACTCTATCTAACAATTATTATGTGGTCTTTAAATTTAGTAACTGTAGGTATTAATTGCTAACTGAGAGCCTTTGGATACTTGTCTGCCGTGAACCCTCAGCAGCTTCCCATTTGCCTCAGAGCAAAAGCTCCAGCCCTTCCTGGTCTGCAAGGCCATGTGGTCTGGCCGCTGTCTTCTCTTTGACCCCAGCTCCGGTTTCCGCTCCAGCCACAGAGGCCACCTTGCCCAAGAACAGTCAGGCCTTCGGCTCTTCTTGTCTGTACTCACTGGCGGGAATGCTTGTCTTCCAGAATCCAGTGATTAATTTCTTCCTCTTTCAGACCTTCCTCAAATGTTATCTTCTCAGCAAAGCTTCCTCCATTCGCCCTGTTTTATTTTTATTTTTAAGATTTTATTTATTTATTCATGAGAGACACACAGAGAAAGGCAGAGACACAGGCAGAGGGGGAAGCAGGCTCCATGCAGGAAGCCCAACGTGGGACTTGATCCCAGGTCTCCAGGATCATATCCTGGGCTGAAGGCGGCACTAAACCACTGAGCCACCTGGGCTGCCCCATTCGCCCTGTTTAAATGCAGTTCCCGTCTCTTCCCTCCTGCTGGTTTTCCCTTAGCAGTTCTCCTTTCCAACATGCAATGTACTCCACTCACTTACCTATGATTATCTTCTGTGGCTCCCTTTAGAAGGTAGCCATAAGGAAGAGGGTTTTTTATTTCTTTTCTTTCCAATGTATATGAAATCCCATCGGCCTGGCCGATGGTAGGCTGTACATTAGTAATTATGGAACCGAGTAGATGCGTGCCGGGCAGGCTGTGGAGTGCTTACACGTTGTCATTACCTCAGTTTATCCTGCCAGTAACTCTGTGAAGGGTTGTTATTCCCCTTTTACAGATGAGGAATCTGAGGCTCAGAGAGGTTAAGTAATTTGCCCGAGGGGAGGATTGAAACCTGGGTTTGTCTGACTCCAAGGCCCATCCATGTGTTTAACCACTTTGTTTACTACCTCCTTAAGAAAATATAAAAGGTATTTTTCTTTCTCTCACTTGAAAGTGCTTATTAAGACCATAAGTTTTTTTTTTTTTTAAGATTTTATTTAGTTATTCATGAGAGATAGAGAGGCAGAGACATAGGCAGAGAGAGAAGCAGGCTTCATGTAGGGAACCCTTCATGTAGGGACTTCAGGGAAGTCCATGATCCGTGGACTCCAGGATCACGCCCTGGGCCAAGGGTAGGCGCTCAACTGCTGAGCCACCCAGGCGTCCCAAGACCATAAGTTTTTTGAAATCTCTTTAAGCCATTTTTAAAAAGAAATCACCAAGGAAAGAGTGGTAGGATATACACATTTGTCAGTTACTAAAGCTCTGTGTTAGGGTGAGTGTCATGGGGAAAGCAGCCTGTGTGGTGATTAAGGACATTTGTTGAGATAACCAGTTCATAAGATTCTCACGGTACATGAAACAGGCAGTGGACAGACTGCCTCTTCTCTGGCTTCACGTCTTCACGTAAAGAAGTCAGTAGGTGACCGCTTGCTGTTCTGCTACCCAGGATTCTCCTAATTTTGGACAAGGCAGTCATTGTTAGCTTTTCTGCTCCATCCACAGAGCAGGGATGATAGTTTGTCTGCCTAAAGCAGGAAAAGGACTGTTAGGTGTTATTCCCACTCTAAAATATACATTTTTGTTTGATTTTTTTTTTTAAGGGTCAGGTGCCTACTCTGATCAACCATTGATGGTTCTACTGACTTTTTAAAAAATTATATCTCTTAGAAACCTCATATGATTCTTATTTTAGGAACTAAAAATTATTAATATGTTTAGAAGAGTTTTCTGTCTACCTCCACGTGGACTAACACACACGGTCTTACATTTACATTGCTGAGTTTGGGACATGATTTAACAAAGTAATATTTCAGCTTGAATATTCTGGTTCTTTTATTTCCATCTTCTTGTCAGATGTCTATTTTTTTTCTATCCTTTTTAACTGTGTGGTGTAGTATGCTTGCAGAGGAGCACATCATATTTGTCAGGTACAAATAATTATAAATAATAATCTTTGTAACCATCAGTGGAGAACACTGCCAGCACCCCAGAGACCACGTGTGACCCTCATATCCCCTCCCAACTGTTAGGAAAACTGTTAATCTCTATTGGTTCTTTGCTTCTCTTTGTAGTTTATCTTCTGTATCTTTTAGGCTTCTAGCAAAATGCTCTCTAGAATTGACCAAGGAGTTGTACTCTGTGATCTTATAAATAAAATGTCTTTGGATTTACATTAAACTTCATTTGAACACAGGAAGCATGTGAGAAATAGAAAAATGTGTACATGTAGAAAATGTAGACTGTGTCACTGTTGCTGAAATCACAGGAGTAGATTTTAAATTGGTCCTTTACCTTCCCAAGCAGCAGATGAGCCTCCTTTCTTTTAGGAGTATTTTTTACCTACACAGCAAAATAATATGTTAGCTTGAAAACAAGGTACCTGCTTCGTAGATTCTTCCTGCAGCCAGCCCTCAGTGGAAGCTACCACGGGTGGGGAGAGGGGGTCTACGTCAAAAGGAGGACGGCAATGAGTGGTCATAGAACCTCGGTGGTGGGGCATATAGGTGTTCACTGGGCAGTTCTGTCCCCTTTCCCATTACCTTGAAAATTGTTATAAGAAAATATTGAGACAGAATAACAGAATAAGAAAACATCTGGGTTGTTGTTGTTGTTGTTGTTAAGATTTTATTTATTTAATTGAGAGAGTGAGCAGGAATGGGGGAAAGGCCAAAGGGTAGAAGGAGAAGCAGGCTCTCCACCGAGCAGGGAATCTGATGCAGGGCTCAATCCCAGGATTCAGATCGTGACCTGAGCTGAAGGCAGATGGTTAAGTGACTGAGCCACCCAGGCGCCCTGAAAACATCTGTTTAAACTCTGCCCTGGGAAAATCTGATTAAGTGATGAGTCCATCTGTATTTTCTTTTGTCCATAGCATTCATGAACTATTTCTAAGATTTAGACATTTAGCTGAGGATTTGCGTACTCTTAAATTTTTGTCTTCTTCACTTTCAGTTTTTCTTTAACATCAGCACTGATGACCAAGAAGGCCTCTACAGTCTTTATTTTCATAAATGCTCTGGGAATGGAGCGCAGTCTAGCGACAAGTTTTCCTTCAGCCTTGATGTGAGTACTGTCTAGAAGATGTTCCATGTGGATTTTGTCAGTTCTGTAAAATGTGAGACATTTATTTCATTATAAGAGCAGGTTTTAGCTTAAATAGAGTAGGAGAAGAATGTGGCCAGAATCCCATCTCCACAGAGGATTCACAAACAAAATACAAAGCAATTTGGGATGGTTTTACACTTTAACCTGTGCATTAGGAATGTGATTATTACCTGCTAATACTTCCTTAGCCAGGTGAAGCAGCTAAGGTGACAGATTGCTGACTGTGGGATGATCTGTTCCTGAAAAGTAAACATTAGTTTCATGTTCATTTCAGATTGAGATCACAGAGAAGAACCCCGACAGCTACCTCTCCGCAGGAGAAATCCCTCTCCCTAAATTATACATTTCTATGGCCTTTTTCTTTTTCCTTTCTGGAACTATCTGGATTCACATCCTTCGAAAACGACGGTGAGTTGTTACTTCTTGAGCCATCCAGCTTAGAGTGTGTTGAGATGTGCGTAATTTCATATTTTGCTGGCTTCTGAGCCTTGGAGGGATTGGCACTAGCAACCTTGTCCTCTTCAAAGGGCATCTTCCCTGAAACAGAGATTATGCAAGCCTTGCCCTGTCGGGGGCCTTTGCATGCCCTGGTGTTTGTTTACTTCCCTTTGCTTTGTTTAAAAAGCAAATCCAAATATTTTAATAATAGGCAAAATAAAATGTATAAGTAAGTGTTACCATAGTGAAGAGGATGTGGTCCAGGACTCCGGGTGAGCTCACTGATCCCATTCAGAGGCTGTGTGTTCACGAGAGGAGGTTAGTGACAGTGACCCACTGCCTGGCCAAGAGCATGGCATTACTGCTTTGTACAGAAGCTGCCTGCTCAGAGGTATTGGCTTCCAGAGGCCTGTCCCTGGAGAAAACTTACTCAGAACCCACCTGCCTGGCTCTTGGACTCTCTTCTGAAACCCGAAGGCTTTACCTGCCTGTACTCAGTTCTTGAAGGGAGCAGCTGCGTGTATGTGGATCAAGTGTTTAAATCTGTCTCCTTCCCTCAAAAAAACTGAATAAAAAACTGAGAATAAACTTTGTAATTTTCAGTTAGAGAACAGTGTGAAGTATTTGTTACATTATAAGGCCTGTTAAATAAATGACGGGATGTGAATATGGGATTGTAATGGAATTAATTTAAATTCATAAAATAATTAAGTGCCCCAAATACCTCTTTCTCTGGAGCATTGGTCAGAAATTGAGATCTCTTCAGTCCCTAGTGGCCTGTCTTCTGGTGGACATGCTCAGCTGGAGTGGTGAGCCTCGACGGGTGCACTGCTAGTTCCTATTTGTCATAAGATTCACTGCACTCACCAAATGGAAAGAGCCACTTGTTTACTTGTGAAGGACCCTTCATGGTCATGTTTAGAGTAGGTGATCCGGCAGCTTTTAATAAGAAAAAAAGAATCTTACCAATTTAGGCTATAAAAAGGGTTTTAAGTAAAGTTTTGCTTCTGCCTTTATTAAAAAAGCAAGAACTGGGAATCAGAGACCCAATTCCAAGTATAAACGTGGATTGCTCCCACCTGTGTATCTTGTTTCACTCTCTGAGCCACAAAACTGGGACAGGGTCATTGCCCTGCTTTTCTCTGCGGGTCTTATTAGAACCTTAGATATGTTATGTGATTCCCCCCGAAATAATTGTGTTCTAGAGGGCTTTATAAATCAGAGTGCTATGCAAATATGAGGTACATACAAAATAGTTGACCAGGCAGGTGTTCAGTGGTATTTGAGTTTCCGTGTATTTAGCAATTGTCACTGGTTCACTTATATAAAATTGTGGGAAGTTTTAAATCTGTGGTTAAATGAGGCCAACCTATGTTGTGCAGCATGTGTTTAGCTTTCTTGCTGAAGTGCAGTATACACACAGGGATATATAATTTAAGCCTTCCACCCCATCTCCTTTTTTTTCCAGGAGACTTACAGACAGTTCTGTTGGGTTGGAAATTTGAATCACATAAAGGATATGACTCCAAGGTTTTGTGCATTTCAGAGGCCCGCAGTCCCTTAGAGTTAGAATGAACTGGGAGATCTTTGCCTCATTTTATGGAGGTCTCGAGAGGAGAAATAAGAGACAGCAGCTAGTGGCACCTGCCAGAGCTGGGAGCGGAACCTGCATCTGCCTGCCGTGCGTGTGCAGCTCCTCTCAACTCTCCGAGTTCTGTCCTGGGCCCCTGAGTGTGGGGAGGGTAAGACAGCCAATCGTTTTTCCATGTCTGCTCCTTGCCCAGTTAAGCACTTGATGCTGGGTGTTTCAGCTCACCATCCAGCCACTCCTTGAGCTGGTTGTTGCCCGTTTTCAGGAGAGGTACCTGAGGCTTGGTGGGATTACAGTTGTCAGGGTAGAAGCAGTATGCAAGCCAAGTTGCTATGGCTTTCGAGCGTGTGTTCATCTCAGACGTTACTACCTGGCATGTGAGTGAGTACAGGGCTCGGCAGCCGGCAGTTCTGCGCTCTGGGTACCTCTTGATGCTCTTCAGAAGTGACACACTCCTCTGGCCTTTACTACATTTTTGACCTTCAAGTAGGTAGACACCAGACAGGAAATCAGCCCGGAAAGGGAGTGTGTGCCAGTTCAAGACACGCCCATCTTATCGGTCTGTGCAAGGCCCCTGGTCTTCATTTCCCCTTTGTTTTCTATCCCTCGCTCATGCTTTTCCCAGCTACTTAGATGCAGGTAATATCTATGCTGGGCATGTGTGTGTTCTTATAAATAACTAATGTTTATTGATACTGTGTATTTTAACTTCTATAAACTATATTATCTATAGATACTGTTCTCATTTTTCACACAGTAGTGTCTTTCTTAAGACCTAGTCACATTGCTGTATGTCCATCTAGTTTATTAGTTTTTAGCTACTCCATAGTGTGCATCCCCACATTCTACTTATCCATCCTTTTAAGAGACCCCTCTCTTGGCCTCCATTCCCTGTCTACTCCAGTTTTGTCATGACCGCCTACTCCCACCCTGGCCTTGTCCCCACTTATGGCTCTGTGCAGTGTCTGCTGTACACTCTCAGAAGGAGGTGCACTGGGTCTGGGGTAAATTCTTATTTAATTTCATTAAGTGCTGCCACTTTGCCTGTACCAGTTTATACTTCTTCCAGGGGTGCATAGGGTTCCTGTTTCCCCTATGTACCAACACTGCCATCTTATTTTTTTGCCAGTCTGATGGATGTAAACTGGTACTTCATTTTATTTTGCATTTTCCTAAATACTAATGATATGAAATATCTTTCAAGGGACTTGTTAACTGTTTGGGTTCCCCCTCTTGTGACTGCCTTTATGGTTCTCTTGGGGTGTCTCATTTTCTTGTCACTCTACATGAGTTTCTTGCATATTTTGGATATCATTCCTTTGTCTGTCTTAGACATTGCAAATTTCTTCTCCCAGTCTGTTAAACTTGTCTGTGGTATTCATTGTTGAAAGAAAGTCTTTCATATTAATAGAGTCAGAACTATCTAATTTTAGTCTTTGGGGCAGTGCTTCTTGGAAGAAACCTTTCCCTACTCCAGGGTCACAAAAGACATATGTTTAGCACTGAGATCTCTCTGGAGTCCTCCTTTATGTAAATGTGAAGTAGGGACACAGCAGTGTATGTATACGTATACGCACACAGGTTTGGGCTGATTTTCCCTGTGCCGGTTAAACTATCCATCCTGTTTCTACCGATTTGCTACCCCCTTATCTATCATATATCAAGGCTTCATACACTCAGGAATCCATTTCTGAGCTGTCTGTTCTGTTGGTTTGTCTGATCCTGTACCCATTCCACAGTTTTTACTGCCATGGCTTTGCAGAATAGTCTTGATATCTGACAGTGTGCATTTCCTCTGTAGCTCTTATTCAAGTTTTAGGCACTTTAAGAGTTGTCAGTTTGTCTTCCAGATGGTCTTGTGTCCTATTAGGTCAGTTCCCAGGGTGAGGTGGAAAAGTGTAGAGGAATTTAGTGGCCGGCAGCCCAAAGGTGGACGAGTCTGTTGTAGGCATGGTGGTGGGAGTGAGGACTTTTTCCCCACTGGCCTGGTGAGTGTGGCGGGTTCCACCCTATCTGCCGCCTGGCTCCAGGCCTGCCCCCCCTCCCCGCCCTCGGGGCCACAGCTCGCCCCCACAGACCCCACAGCCGAGCCTGGGCACCTTCCACTCCCACCCATGGGTTTCTTGCCAGTTTTGTGGTTCCCACCGCTTCATTCTTGCCTCTGTGGCCTTTCCAGGGCAGTTTCTGGGCACGAACCTGGCAAGCTGTGTAGATTTCCACCTTATCAGGAGCTGGAACTCATCCTTTCTGGCTTCGATGCCTGACTTTGCTCTAGTCACAACACAGACTTGTGCATGAGAGGTGACTCTAGGGCTCCATTGGGGCTGTTTCTGCTGGTAGAAACTAGGTTTCCAAAAGACTTCATGTTTGTGGTTTGCTGAGATTATACTTACTATTTCCTTATAAATGTATCTGATGCCTGGAGCTTTGGCCATCCATTGGAGGAATGGAATATTTCTTTAATTCTTTTCTCTCTGTTTTTATAGGAATGACGTATTTAAAATTCACTGGTTGATGGCGGCCCTTCCTTTCACCAAGTCTCTTTCCTTGGTGTTCCATGCAGTATGTATTAGTATTTTGGATCATTTATGAAATGGTGTACAGAGTCTATATAATTAGGAAAAATGAATTGGAAACAAGGGGAGCTAGGTCATGGGAAACAAGATGAAAGAAGACCTTGTCTCATGAAGCCTTTGGTGCAGGAGGGGCCATTACAGGGGTAAATCATGACACCCTCTGTCCAGGACCCTAGCCCAGAGACATCTTCCTTTTTTTTTTTTTTTTTTTTTTTTAAGATTTTATTTATTGGAGAGAGAGAGAGAGAGGGAGGGAGAGGGAGGGAGAACATGAGCAGGAGGAGGGGGAGAGGGAGAGGGAGAAGCAGACTCCCCACTGAGCAGGGAGCCTGATGCGGGGATCTATCCTAGGACCCCAGGATCATAGCCTGAGCCGAAGGTAGATGCTTAACCAACTGAGCCACCCAGGTGCCCCTCACTAGACATCTTCTAATGCTACCTGCATACTCAGAGTTTTCCTAGACCTTTACTTGTTTTTATTCCTGTTTGTCCTTTCTCGAGGTTAGAGTGCCACCTGCTGAATTGTTTCCATGAATTGATTTTTCTAAATACTTTGCCATGTTCCCATTTGATTTGAAGTTGGTGTTAGCATACTTATTTGAGAGAAAAAGGATACTCTAAAGAATGAGATGTGTGAACTAAGCTTATACTTTGAATATTTAGTCTGGATGGGAGATGAAGTGCACCTGCCTGTGGGAGGAAAGTCACAACTGGCTCGTGGCACCTGCTGGCTGTGCTCATAAGGGCGACAGTTTCCAGACACGTGCTCTCCTACACTTAAAAAGTGTTGGCATCAAAGAAGTAGTGATGTGTCCAGCTACAGTCTCTGGAAATGACAGTTATTTGGATAATTTCCCATTTGGATCTAAGTTAAAAGAATTTTTCTGGAACTTTGTAGATAATGAATGACAAGACCCTTGAGTCACTTCAGTGTCTAGTTAGCCATTTGTGACAGAATAAAGATGAAATCAATACCAGTGTCTGTGAGTTCTGCCAGGAACCATTGTGGGCGCTCTCCTGAAACTTGCCACTTTAATTAAAACGTGTTGGTGGCTTTGAGTAGCTCTAAATGTACAGAGTTTCTTCAAAAAAAACAGAACAGTGGAAGCTGCATGACTCCACATGGATTTTTTTGCTGGCTGGCTGACTGACTTGTGTAATAAGCAGCTGCAGTGTGCAAAGTGAAGTTCCTGGCTGAAATGCTGAAAAAAGATGGGTGACATTTGGCCCTTGGGGATTTTAAACAGAACAGGCCACCATTTGCCAGTGTGAATCTCTCGCCTGAAGAGAGTGGCCTGGCCTGGGTGCTGGTGGTGTTGAGATCTTGTGGCAGATTTCTCTTGCTACCTCATGTTAGTGCCCTCACGTGCTGAATTGTGAGGTATCAGGACGTGGGGCAGAGGAGACCCCCTCCTCCCATGGTGAGGTCCTGTGGCAGCATTTCCTGTTCGCTGTGTGGACCTTTCTGAAATGCAGTTGTTTCTTTGCAGATCGACTACCACTATATCTCCTCTCAGGGCTTTCCGATCGAGGGTTGGGCTGTCGTGTACTACATCACTCACCTGTAAGTATGCAGAGTGACACATGAAATACTCCTCCCTCAAGGTGACTTCCCGAAGTCGGGAAGGCCATGGTAGGAAGAGACTTGCCTTGCGATAACAGTCCTTGCCCTCTTGTGGCAGCCCGTCTGGGTTCCTGCCATGCCAAGTGTGTGTGGCACACAGGTGGCTGTCCGGACCCGAGAACTCAGGGCTGTGGGTGTGCTCCCAGGAGGAGGTTGCCTCCATTGGAGGATTAGCTGCTCAGGGAGTGGGGTGTGTGGCAAACTATTTGTGTGCTGCTTCACTTAAGAGAAATTCCTAAACTTGGCCACTTACCTTTTCCAAGAAGCACGTGAAGTCATAAATGAGCTGTGTAATGGAACTTGCACAGACACTTGGAAGAGACCATTAGTGTCTGGAACTTTTTCTTTTCCAGCTTGAAAGGGGCACTACTGTTCATCACCATCGCGCTCATCGGCACCGGCTGGGCTTTCATTAAGCATATCCTTTCTGATAAAGACAAAAAGATCTTCATGATTGTCATCCCGCTCCAGGTAAAGGGACCCTAATCCTGCATGTCTTGGTTGTGTCCTGGCACTTCGCAAGGCTCAGCTCTGGGCCTGTCCAGGCAGAGGGAATCCACTCGCCTTGAAACCCTAGCTATTACCACTGGGCTTCTCTTGCTGAATTCTGGCAGACCTTGGCCTCGGGTCATTGCCCTGAAAGCTGTCTGCAATTGCTCATCTGGCGAGCGGCTTATGGATGCTTACACTTGAGTAGAGAGGTCAGAGGACATACTGCCTGCCTTCTTGCATCTGGCTTCCCTCTGACAAGATGGTCCTCTTAGCCAAGCTCAGACATGTAGTGTTTTTATTAACAAATTATTTTAAAACTGTGAATGACACCAGTGAGTTTTCACAAGGTAGAGTATTAAGTAGAGATCAGGGCAACTATTTATTAAACCCTCCCTGGTTTGAGACCCTGGGCTGAGGCCAGCCTTGCCCAGTTGTGAATCCCTTGGGAGAGGAACCTTGTCTTCTATGTAACAGTCTTATCGAAGGCAGAGACTGGGCATAAAGAACTCACAATAAACAGAGGGCCTGGCAGAAATGCATGACTGCTTCATTCCACTCAACCAAAGAGCAGATGTGTGATAAAGTTGTTCTCATGGGCTGATCTTGTCTGGGAACATAGTGTGGGTGTGGCGGGTGAAGGAAGGAAGGTGATAATGCCCTCACTCTGGTGGTGGGCAGTCTGGCTGTGTTTGCAGCAAAGCCACCTTCATATTAGTGAAAAGGGACTTGTGTTAGCACTAACCAAATGGTGCAGACCAGTTGCTGTAGGTTTCCCAGGAGAGAGACTAATCACTGAAATTTGAATGTCTAGAAGGCTTCAAGGTGGAGAAGGGCCTTGCCTAGATGTTTAAGGAGAGAAATATGGCAGGCAGAAGGGCAATAGCAGAAACCAGTGCTGCTACTGCCAAGTAAACAGATGCTAAGGAGCTAGGGGTCCTGGCTGTAGAGCTCCCAGGGGTACTGCTGTGCCTACAGTGGCCAGGCTGAGTTCTGCAGCCTGCCACTGCCACCAAGCTCAGAAGGGAGGGCCTGGGTTCTCTTCCTACAGTATTATACTGCTCCCTGTCCCCCTCAGAGCTGCTACCATCCCTCCAGGCAGACCTTCTTTCCCCTACCCGAGCTGGGATGCGATGGGCACAGCCCTCCCAGCTTCCCTCTTTTGCACCCCTGAGGTAGCTAAACACAAGGTTACATGGCAGGCAACTCTAAGGAAACAGGACGTTGAAAAAATTGAATATAAGGAAGTTATGCATCGATAAACTTAGAGACTAGTCTGGGGAGGCCTTGAACATCAGCCGGGAAGCTAAAACTATTTCTTTGTGGCCACAGGGAGCCAGTGCACATTTCTGAATGAGAAGTGAAAGATGTACAAAATGTACCCACAGACTTTCAGGAACATTTTTGGTGCTTTGTTCCACACTGGGGAACATTCTGTCTTGTGTCAAGAGTGTGAAGTAAGGACCAAGTGGAATTATGAATTTAAGTCAGGAAAGCCTTTGTTTCCTTTGTCTTCATAGATAGAATCCTGGATGCAGGTGGTTAGGTTGTGTGTGTCAGAGGATGACTGAAATTTCAGAATAATTTTTGCATTTGTATCTAGTGAAGTATGGCTTTTGTGATCATTTCACTGAAGTGTCCTAGATTAAAAAAAGAAATTATACTTAGAGATGTCCCACATAGCAGCGCAACAGATTTTACATCCTTTGTCGAAGTGTACAGACTTGCCTTTATGGCAAGCAAGCAAAGTGATTGGGGCCTTGGACTTTGCATGGAGCATAGAGGTGGACTTGTCAACTCTGTACCCCACCTACTGGAAATCTCCCAGAGAGTGTCTCCTTGATTATGCTGAATAGTAGCCCAGGTTTGAAATACTAATCCAGTTTAGCCAGCTCTGGGACCTTTTGCAGCCCACTGGTGCAGGAACCGAACCCCCGAGGCTGGTCAGAGCAGAGCGTGGACAAGCCATATCCCAGGTAGAGGTGGCCCAAGTGGGGTTACTCCTAGGAGGAGCAGTGTGGCCGCTCAAGCATGCGCCAGAGTCTGCCGGTCCCGTTGCTCTGGTCTCTGATAACAACTTCGGGTACCGAGAATACTGGCTGTCTCTGAGAAGCAGCGGTGGACACACAGGGAGAATGTGGACCTGAGGAATCTGGGTGTCGCAGCCAAGTGGGCTGTGCAGTGCCTCCTGTGCGGCTCTCCTGAGGCCTCGGGGCCTAAGGAGCAAGGCAGAGCATCCTGGTGATCTGTGCTGTGTCACCAGTCATCCCAGATGCAGTGACAGAAAGCAACAGTAACCACATATTCGGTCATGTACTGTATGGTCCAGGAATTGAGGAATGGCTGCACTGGGCCTCATGCGGTTAGATGGTGGCTGGGGCTGCCTCGAAGTCTTCATTTGCTTCCATCTCCTGGGCCAGGAAGACTCAATGAGGCGGGGCGGCAATAGCTGGGACTCCTCTGCCTCTTTTTCTCTGCCTGGTTTCTCCACCTTGGCAGCCTCGGGGTAGCCAGACATCCTCCAAGAAGGCTCAGGGCTCCAAAGATGTGTGTCCTAAGCAAGAGGGCAAGCCAGAGGCAGTGTCCTTTTTATGACCCACTTTGGAAATCATATAGCCTCACTGCCACCTGACTGTTGCTTGGGGCTATCCCAAGCTGGGAAGGAGAGTACAGAGACTACTCCTTGAGGGGCAAGCATAGTGTTCTGAAAAGCATGTGTCACTGGAGAGAATGCTATAGCCATGGTTGCAGGCTTGCAGGCTGCAGGGTCCCCTCACCACTGGGGCTGCCATCATAGAGATCTGCCCTTGCTCTAGGGCCTCAGCAACTTCTCATGTCCTGTAGGTACTGGCAAACGTGGCCTACATCATCATAGAGTCCACCGAGGAGGGGACAACGGAATATGGCTTGTGGAAGGACTCTCTGTTTCTGGTGGACCTGCTGTGCTGTGGAGCCATCCTCTTCCCAGTGGTGTGGTGAGTGCCCACAGGGAGGGGGCTGTGGGGCACCCGAGGGCTCATCCACTGGATGAGGCCAGGTCGCCGGATCAGCCTTTCCCAAACCCGTCTGAGTCATGTGGGGCATTGCTTCCTGGGTCCTCTCCAGGAGCAGGAGGCTGGAGACCATGTCTTTATCCAGCTCCTTAGTGCATACCCAGATTGCTGAACTGGCACCATGGCTTTTAGCACCGTAGACAATAGAGTCTGGAAATGAGAACTCAGGGGGCAGTGTAACCTAGCAGCATGCATTTGGAGGGAAGAGAGTTGAAATTCCACATACAGCCTTTCCTTACCAAATTAGAAAGTGCAGAGTGCATGAACATAATACTAGTTAGAGTTCCCAGCACATAAACACATAGGTATCCTCAGGCTGTAGATACACACATGGTGCTTCAGTTATGTGCAAAGAAACATTAGTGCCACACCACTAGTTGATGAGAAGAAATAGCCTCATTAAACCTTATGCCAGGTGAAGGGAATCACTGGTTCAGTAGGAAGCAAGTAGAGGAGAAAAGGCTAGCAAAAAGAAAACACTCTCACAGTGCTCTAGTTCCATGGCTGTTTGAAAGCAATTACTTCCTTTGGAATAAAAATTTTTTTTTTAAGATTTTATTTATTTATCAGAGATAGAGAGAGCACAAGTGTTCACAAGCAGGGGGAGGGGCAGAGGGAGAAGCAGACTCCCCACTGAGGAGGGAGCCTGATTTGGGACTCCATCCCAGGACCCCGGGATCACAACCTGAGCTAAAGGTAGATGCTTAATCAACTGAGCCACTCAGGTGCCCCTTGGAATAAAATTTTTAAAAATATATTTACCTGCTGTATATTAGAAATGAGGTGGTCCACGCTACAATGGCCCCATGCTGTAAATTCTTACATTCAGGATCCTGGGGTTTATAACTTCATTCAGTTACTCTGATTGTTTAGAAGCTGGTGCTAATGGTGTGTAATCCTATTTCCTGCCAATCAGACTCACTTTTTTTTTTTAAAATATTTTATTTATTTATTCATGAGAGACACACAGAAAGAGAGAGGCAGAGACACAGGCAGAGGGAAAAGCAGGCTCCATGTAGGGAGCCCGATGTGGGACTGGATCCTGGGACTCCAGGATCATGCCCCGGGCTGAAGGCAGGCACTAAACTGCTGAGCCACCCAAGGATCCCCTCAGACTCACTTTTGACCCTTATTCCGTCATGTATCACACGCGCACACACGTCCATGCAGCAGGCAGCCTCCAGCAGAGATGACAGAAGACGAGTGAGTCTTTTCTAATCTCTCTCACTGCCCCACATCCTGCCCAGGAGCAAGTAATTCGGGCATCTGTGGCAGGATGCCAACATTGTCTTCAGGTAAGAAAGAGCATTTTACTGTTCTGGAACAGAGTATAGTCCCTTCTCTTCCATCTGCTGTTCTCAGCAAAAAGAAGGGACTTAGGGGTTCGGGGAAGACACAAGTGAGCTATAGGGGCTACAAGTGACCATTTCCAGCCCCTTTTTCATTGTAGCATGAATGAGTACATGCCCCACAGCAAGGTTCTTGAAGGTGGATGTTCTGAAAGTTGCTTTAAAATGAAAAACATCAAGTACTGGAGGTGACTTAAAGAATAGTATCGATGCTTCTTTTGAAGCATTCAGACTCCGCGGGCATGGGTTTGGTGCCAGTTTTGTGTTAGCTCACTTCCCTATTGTGCACTGTTCACTTCTCCTAGGTGGGAAGATGACAGGGCTGGGGGGAGGTTCTTAGGAGAAAAGACTTATTCGTGGTCAGGTAGAGAGTGGATGGTCCATGAGAACTTGAGCCCACATGTGAGACCCACCTTCCTCTGCCTAGGCTGGATCTGCTTGGGCTGTTTCACATCCTTTTGAGACAGTCTTTCTCTTCCAGCCTCTGCACTCTACCTAGAACTCTGAACTGTAGCCTCATTAACAATGTTAGTGTTCCCTTGCTGCACTGCAGTGATGTAATTAGTTACCTGGCACATCACAGCAGGGGAAAAAAAGACTCCTTGGAGCCCAACACTTTTCAGCAGAGTTCTGTGTCTCTAGTTGGTGAAATAGGGAGTTTGCAAGAAGCCATGTGCTCACAAGCTCCTAGATCTAGACTTTGGAAATCAGCCTCCAGCCTTGGTGGGGCAGCCATGTTCCCTAGGTAGCAAGTGCGCTCCATGGCATTATTGAGGGGTGGGGTCCTCGTGGGAACTGTAGATTTAAGTAGAGAAGGAGATCAAGAGTGTTGAAATGATGGTGTTTTGCTTTGTTTTTCTGGCTCACCCTGGCCCCTGCCAGACCTTTTTCATCCATTAGAGGGCATCCTTAACTCTCAGGCTTGAGCACCTGATAGGGCAAGCTGTGGGCAAGGTGTCGGTTAGCAAAGACCACATGTTTAGGGAGAGTGCTCTAAAAACATCCAGTCGGGATCCCTGGGTGGCGCAGCGGTTTAGCGCCTGACTTTAGGCCAGGGCGTGATCCTGGAGACCCGGGATCGAATCCCACGTCCGGCTCCCAGTGCATGGAGCCTGCTTCTCCCTCTGCCTATGTCTCTACCTCTCTCTCTGTGTGACTATCATAAAAAAAAAAAAAAAAAAATTTAAAAAAATAAAAAATAAAAACATCCAGTCCATGGGCAGCCCGGGTGGCTCAGCGGTTTAGCACTGCCTTCAGCCCAGGGCGTGATCCTGGAGACCTGGGATCGAGTTCCACGTCGGGCTCCCTACGAGGAGCCTGTTTCTCCCTCTGCCTCTCTCTCTCTCTCTCTCTCTCTCTCTCTCTCTCTCTCTCTCTGTTTCTCATGAATAAATAAATAAATTTTTTTAAAAATAAAAACATCTGGTCCAGCCATTTCGTGGCCTTGAGTTACTCATGCTGGAAGCAGAGAAGAATGCAGACCTGTCAGCTAACCTTTTTTTCCCCAATGTTTATTTTTAGGTCAATCAGGCATTTACAAGAAGCATCAGCAACAGATGGAAAAGGCAAGTTCCCTTGTGTTCTTTTGTGCTGCTGGGCCTTTCCCGAAGCCACATGCCTGCTCACTGCCAGGAATAGTGGAGGTGGAGGTGAAGGCAGAAGGGCCACAGTCTCCTGGGAGGCAGGCTTGGGGAGCCCCCGGAGGCTTTGTGAAAGCAGGGGGGATTGTTTGCAGGAGAGGCAGGGGTGAACTTTGCAGAGGTCAGCTGTGGAAGGAGACTTGGGGGTGATTGCTGCTTAGTGAGATGATTCATTCCATTTCCACTCCTGAGCGTGATTTTCACCTTCTCCAAACTGAGTCAGGAGGAGAAAAATCTCGTCTGGGAAGGACCAGATAGCACTTCGCTGTGAGAACAGGAGGTATTATGGATTGGGGATGGCTATGTGTAAAGCATCCCTTCCTGCTGACTTAACACGCTTTCAAAATAGATGTGTCAGTATTAATTTAAGACGAGAGTGATGCCAGAGAGAACCTTTGAAACTCTCTGGTTTTTATTCTTATTATTATTTTTTGAAACTCTGGTTTTTGAATGCTCGTGGCATGATAACCCTTCTGCGTCTCCTTGGTTTTCTAACAATTCCTAAGAAAAGATGCCACAAAGAGAATGTTTTGTGCATTTCTTTTTTTTTTTTTTTTTTTTTTTTTTTTTATTTATGATAGTCACAGAGAGAGAGAGAGGCAGAGACACAGGCAGAGGGAGAAGCAGGCTCCATGCACCGGGAGCCCGATGTGGGATTCGATCCCGGGTCTCCAGGATCGCGCCCTGGGCCAAAGGCAGGCGCCAAACCGCTGCGCCACCCAGGGATCCCTGTTTTGTGCATTTCTGAGCTTATTTGAATAGTGCATGATCACAGGCTGCAGTGGCATAAAGGGAGACTTTGGAGCGCCAGGGATGGAGAAACAGTGCTTTCTCAGGGCTTTCTCAGTGCTGGGAGCCACCTCTGGGTCCAGGAAGTCACATGCCCAGTGTCGATAGCAGTGTTCCTTAAGGCAGATAATTCATTTGTTGTTGATGAGTTTGGTTGCTGACCCCCTTTTTTTTTAATTATTATAAAAGTAATGTGGATTCATTTTAGAAAAATTGGAAATCAGGTAATAGGTACAAATCCAAGTTTACACTTGACATATAATTTTTTTTTTTTTTGCCATATAATTAATACCACATTTTGTTTAAGTTTAACTAAACCTGATTTCAAGGCTTCACTCCAGTGTCTTGTGAGATCCCGGGGTTTTTATGTAGAGCATAGTACTCGAGGGTGTCTGTGACTTTGGTGGTTTTGGCTCACAGTGATTGCTGTGGAGACACCCCCCACCACAACCCCCCCTCTGCCTTGCCCCTAGCCCTCAGTAGCGCTCTGTCCTCTAGGCAGCCTGGCGCCATGGGGTCCTGCCTTGGCTGGGAGCTTCAGTCAGCGTTGAGTCCAGTTTCCCTAGGCCCAACTGGCCTGAGTGGCTGCAGGCAACCATTCTCAGAACATGCCAGCTCGTGTTTTCTTTCTAGTCCTGGGAAATGGCTCTTTTTTGTTTTCTCCCCTTTTTCTTCAAAAGCACTGGATTCCCTTCTCTCTCTGGGATAGATTCTTGTCAGTGAGTTTCAACTTGAACTTTTTATAAATGTTTTGCTTTTAGCCTGGCTCGGAGCTCAGAGAGCCCTCTTGCCTTCTTGGAATGGGATAAAGAACAATTACAAAATATAAAACACAAATTAGAATCCTCATAAAGCACCCTGACACAAACTGAAAAATTCAAAATAAAAAAATAAAAACTCACCCTCTGGGAATAAGTGTTATTTGGGAGATATTCTTGTTTTTTTTTTTTCTGTAGTTTTCATATAAAAAGATACCTTTATTATTATTATTTTTATTTTTTATTTTTAAAATTTATTTATGATAGTCACACACAGAGAGAGAGAGAGAAAGAGAGGCAGAGACACAGGCAGAGGGAGAAGCAGGCTCCATGCAGGGAGCCTGACGTGGGATTCGATCCCGGGCCTCCAGGATCGCGCCCTGGGCCAAAGGCAGGCGCCAAACCGCTGCGCCACCCAGGGATCCCTATTATTATTTTTATAACAAATTAATTTTAATATGTCAAGGGGCACCTGGCTGACTTGGTATGTGGAGTGTGTGATTCTTGATCTCAGGGGTCATGGATTCAAGCCCCACGTCGGGTATAGATGTTACTCAAAAAAATTTAAAGTTTAAAGATTTTTTTAATATGAGCTAACATATTTTACTTTTTCATCTTTATACACTTCAGTATTTCTGGATTCATTTTTCTTACTGCTTGGCTGAAAATGTTTAAAAATTCCAAGGGGGATGTTCTCCAGTGAGTTGTATGGGTCCTTTTCTTCTTGGCCTTGCCTTTCCCCTGCGTGGATTCCTCTGAGCCTTCTTCACCAGCTCCCTTCCCCTTTTCTCCGTCATCCTTGTCCCTCTGACTGCCTATGCGCTTTCTGCATCCAGCCTTGAGAGGGCTTGGGGGTTGCCTTGGTGATGAATTGTCTCTGGACTGTTTATTCCAGAATGGTCGATGGTTAGCTGGGTGAAGCCCAAGACAGGTCTACATTGTCTCTGTGCAGCTGTAGTGAAGAGAAACTATAGAACCCAAATACTCTTGTCATCATCTCCTGGGGCACACATGTCAGTTTCTCATTTTTTCCAGCAGGTGACAGCATGCGACCTCTTCAGCAGAGAGCGAATATGAAAACAGGAAGTCACACCAGCACACCAGGTTCTCCTTCACCATTCACCATTCTCGGGTTGACATCCTGTTAAGAAAGCACCTGTTTCTCATCAGCAAATATCACAAACCCTTTGAAAGAGAGACAGAGTAGTTAGTTACACTGCGGGTGTCTTGATCCATGTTCTTTCACTGAATTGATGTAGGCTGTGGCTGTTTTTTTAGCTTATCAGCAAATGCATATTTCATTCAGTACTTTGAAAAATGATCATGCCTGTAATACTTCCAGAGTCAGGGCAGCTGTGTGCCCCCGGTCAAGTCCCCCCTGCAGAGAACTCTCAGGAATAGCATCCCCCTGCCCCTTGGTGGCAAGCTGCCCTGGGGTGTGAGCACAAAGCAGATTGGGACAGAAGTGAGGCAAAAGCTGGAGTGAGCACGCTGCCGACCACCCAACCGCCACGGGTTCCCAGGGGTTGTACTTGACCCCCTTCAAGTGAAGGCCATGGGCGGTAATGTCTCCTACGAGATTTGGAGGCATTGCTGGCTGGAGGCTGATGCTCTGGTTCCTGTTCTTGGGCTCATTGTGCCATTGACTTGGTGCATGACCTTGATGGTGACTTGGCTTGAACCTCTCAGCGTATGTGCAGTCCAGGCTGACTAGTTGCCAATGGGGTAAGTGCTGTTTGCAGTGGCTGTCCCCGCGTTTGGGACGGCGGGTGGCTTTCAGAGTGCTGCTTTGGATGTTGTTGACTTCTTTATCTCTGGAGTCCTTTTGACTGAGTCTCGGGGAAACAAGGAAGCTGCCCACTATCCTTCAGCCGTGTCTTTATCTCCTCTGTCACACGCTATTGCTTCTCTCAGCTCCTCTGTCATTTGGAGTCACTGATGCGCTGCATTCTCTGAGCGGAATGAGAATGGGAAGCGTACTGAGTCTCCCACAGACACCCGAGCCCACGTGCCACCGTGTTTTGCTCCCCAGCATTGGCTTTTACTGCCCTTGAGTGTGTACATGTTCCCTCCTTTCTCCAATGCCATTACCTCAGAGGACTGGCCAGGGCATAGATTCCACACATTTAATTAACAGTCTCTGCTGCTGCTTATCCCCGCCCCCCCGTGTTTCTGAGGAAGATTCAGAGGAAATGTTCTGAAGACTCTGGGCTTTTATGTGAGGTTCAGAGGCATTTAAACAAATGGTGACTGGCTAATTGCAGATTTGTAGAGGCATAGCTTCATTCAGAATGGCTGCCATGTTCTGCAGGTAGCTGTGGCCATGGGAAGTATTCTTCAGGGTGGCAGCTCCCATGGGGGTCCTTGGGGCCAAACAGGCTTCATCGCCAGACATAGTCATCCTTTCCTTTCTTGCTGTTGATGTTTGCACCAATGGTACAGGAGCAGTAGTGGGTCAAACAGCCACTGCCTGAGTGTGATTCGAGGCAGTAGCACCAAACTGTATGAGTGGCCATTGCTTTCTCCAATGCTGCCGGCTTGCAGGGGGTGAAAGAGACTCGTTTCACTCAAGAGTGGCCTCAACGAAATAGTAAAAACTACTAATGTTATTAAATCTAAACCCTTAAACGCAGGTCTTTTATCATTCTAAGTGTCAGGAGATGGGAAGTAGATGTAAAGCACCTCTGCTGTGCACCGAAATACAGTAATTGTCTTAGGGGAAAACACGTGTAGTTATTGGAGTTGCAAGCTGAACTAACTGTTTTTCTCTTGGGACCTCATTTTTATTTGAAAGAATAAAACTTTGGTGTGGTTACTCAGACGTGAGGTTTAGCCAGACATTTTTTTTTTTTTGAAAATGAATGAAGTAAACATGTCAGTTCAGGGATATGACTAGAAGTACTTGTTGCTGGTGACCTCATTTTCACTTGAAAGCACAAATGTTAACTTAAGAAAACTTGTATCTACCACTGAAGGTTTGATAGCTTCCCAAGTCTTAAAAGGCTCATGTGAGAAGGGGTGATATTAACAAATATGACTTTAAAAAGATATTTTATGATAAAAAGTGTCAATATTTCAGAGACCTGCATGACTCAGTTGACACTATTTTCTACCTGGCCAATGCATGTTACACAGTCATGCATGAATAAAAGATCCATTCAAAGTGCAAGATGGACCAGTGGATTTTTTTTTAAAGATTTTATTTATTTATTCATGAGAGACACAGATAGAAAGACAGAGACATAGGCAGAGGGAGAGGCAGGCTCCCTGCAGGGAGACTGATGCAGGACTTGATCCTAGGACCCTGGGATCATGACCAGAACTAAAGGCAGATGCTCAACTGCTTAGCCACCCAAGCATCCTGGATTTTTTTTTTTTTTTTTTTTTTAAGGGACGCACGGGTGGCTCAGCGGTTGAGTGTCTGCCTTCAGCCCAGGGCATGATCCTGAAGACCCAGGATCGAATCCTACATTGGGCTCCCTGCATGGAGCCTGCTTCTCCCTCTGCCTGTGTCTCTGCCTCTCTCTTTCTCTGTGTCTCTCATGAATAAATAAATAAAATCTTAAAAAAAAAAAAAAAGTATGAGAGAATCTTGAGACCAAAAGTTTGAGAACCATGTGATAGGGATGAGGCTTCTTGAATCTCTTGTGGTCATGACAGCCGTGACCAAAAAGCCTACCTGGTTCTTTTTTCCTGTGCCTGCAGAGTTTATTTCAGACTCACTTGGCCAGATTCTTGTGACTATTTAGAGTCCATTAGTTCTGGGCATTTCATGCCCCCCCCAAAATATGTAAATATGTTTTATTTGAGTGTGTTCATGTAAACAGACCTAATTGAAGAGAAAGGAAAACAGACCCATTGAAGAGAAAGGAAGAAAATTACCCCTGTTTTTTTTTTTTAAGTTTTATTTATTTGAAAGAGAATAGAGCATGAGCAGGGCAGGGGAGGGCAGAGGGAGAAGCAGACTCCCCGCTTAGCAGGGAGCCCCATGTGTGGCTCCATCCCAGGACCTTGAGATCATGATCTAAACTGAAGGCAGATGCTTAACTGAGCCACCCAGGTGCCCCCGTCAATGAGGTTTTATTAGAATGCACCATGCCTGTTTGTATATGAGTTGTCTGTGTTTGCTTTTGCACTTCAGTGGCAGAGTTGAATCACTGGGGCAGAGATCATCAGGCCCACAAGGGTGCTCTCCAGCCCCCTACAGAAAACGTTTGCCAACTCCTGGCTGTTGTAGACATTAAAGAGATATTATTTTAAAAATTGTATCTGTAATAGAGTGATGTTGACCAGTGACTCTTCACTCTACTGAGTGCTTTGAAAACTGTGAAACTTGTATAGATAGAAAAAATTACTGCTTTTAAGCATTTACTAAACTCTATTTTGTGTCCAGAGCTGTCTTGTCAGGGCCCCTGGGTGGCTCAGTGGTTGAACCACTGAGCCTTTGGCTCAGGTTGTGATCCCAGGGTCCTGGGATTGAGTCCTGCATCAGGCTCCCTAAGGGGAGCCTGCTTCTCCCTCTGCCTGTGTCTCTGCCTCTTTGTGTGCCTATTCATGAATAAGTAAATAAAATCGTAAAAAAAAGAAAAAGTTGTCATTTGATTGGGGCAATAGCTTTTGCATCATCTGCTCTGATATTTTACCTGACTTATTATCTTAATGGGAATCTACGTTTTTCTTTGACTAACAAGATGACTTTTAACATAAATTGCTCTCAGTTTACTAGCAGAGCTTTGGGTTATACATTTCAAGTGGGGCTGATGTTTGTAAGTACTGTCTTCCCTGACTCCTTTGACTCAGTTCTTGGTTATAATTTCAGATTTGTCCAATCTTTATTTACATTTTCCAAGTAGAAACTAAGGTGCCCCAGGCCCATTGATGCTGTAGGCACTGAGGATTATTATTAGGTTAGACCTGAACGCCCTAGGTCAAAAGCCCTAGGGTGAAGGAGGTGGTCAGGAGAAAGGGGAGCCTCCCAACCACACATTTTGCTGTGATTTCCCTTCCCCAGCATGCAGGGAGGGCTCTAGGACTGGGTGCTGCCTGGGTAGGAATGAGTTCCTCCAGAATTGTTCCATGCTGTTTTCTGCCCTGCCCATGAGGATAGCATTGGAATTACCCCCTCCGGAACACTGTTTCAGGATAGTAGGAGAAAAGAGGCAGGAAAAAATGAGATGCCCTTTATCTGGTCACTCAGAAAATTTTCATCCTTCCTTTTGTCCCTGGGTGTATAGCTAAAGCATATGCTTATAATCCTCTCCTGATTCTGAAGTCTGAAGCTGTACCATGAGAGCACCTTAAACAGTCCTCTGCTCCAGAAACGTGGCATACTGGCAGGCCAAGAACACTTTCTCTCCAGCTGGTGCGGTGCAGGGGCTTTTTTTTTTTTTTAAAGATTTATTTATTCATGAGAGACACAGAGAGAGAGAGAGGCAGAGACACAGGCAGAGGGAGAAGCAGGCTCCCCACATGGAGCCCGATGTGGGGCTTGATCCTGAGTCCTAGGATCACACCCTGAGCTGAAGGCAGACACTCCACCGTTGAGCCACCTAGGTGTCCCTGCAGGGGCTTACAAAGCCCCTCCTGTGGTATGAGAGTGGCATTCTGTCTTGCAGTCAAGACCACCTCGTGTCAAGAGTGTGGCCAGCTCTCTAGTTCACGTTTTCCACATGGCATCTGTGAGTGCATTATGGGAGGGGTGTGTGTGGGCACCAGAAACTTCGTGAGATTTTGTGCATGCATGCATTTACCTGGGTAGAGGGTTTGTGGCTTTCCACAAAGTCTCAAAGCAGTCCATGACCCTAGAAAGGGTAAAACAACAGCTAAATAGACTATTGTGAAGAAGCAATGAGAAAGAAAGAGAATTTGATTAGACTGGCTTTAATACAATGATATTTCATTTCTTTTAATCCCTAAAACCCTGTTGTCATTACTTTCCCCTAGCAGATCACCCAGAAATTCTTCTAATGTCATTAATATAATCACAGCTTCTGCTTAACATTTCAACATAATTAACCATTGTCACCATCTTGAGTTAATATTCTACAGCCAAAAGCAGAGAGGCCTCTATCCCCAGCCTGAGAAGCAGCCACATTCTGGACACA